ATGTTGCAAGTTGGGAAGCTTCAAACGGGATATCAATCCCGACCCCGGAACTGTACCGAATATGTCCCCTCCTGCTGTGTACTCTTGTAGATGAACGTGTAAGCTTTTTAAGGAATTTATCTCGATGTCCCCTGGGTCTTTGTGACCGGGGGGGGCCACGGTTCTGAATGGTGGACCGTCGACTACGACGAGAGTGTGAAGACACCTCGTGAACGAAAGAGCAGTGGACAATAAACCCATGTCCAATGGGGCTCCAACCTCCATATACGTGATTCTATTCCACCAACGCGCGATCTTATACGATGCTCGGATTCCATCCCGGTCGGGATTAGGTGCCGGAAGTTCAATCTCGGAGAACGGATGAACAACAAGACGTCGTAGTACCACCGGAGTCTCCTCCAAGACTCTAAGAAAATCTCGTCACGTCGGGTGTCGAACGTTGTGTAGCTCGACACGCTCCAAGTTGGCGCACTTCCAGATGGGTAGAATATTCCACTCGGTGCAGTCTTGAGACCAGAGACAGAGGTTTAACGAGCGCCATCGGTGGGACTCGGCGCGTAAGATGTCGATGAGGGATTGGTGCTCTGTCTGTACTAACAATGGAACTGGGGAGATCTTGATTTGAATGTCAAGGAGACGGTCCTTTGTCATTAGGAGGATTGAGCGAAGGATAGAAGGACTGCCTTCAATCGAACGGTTCGAGAGGAAAGCAGTGTCGATGTATATTTTTGTCCACAAACAAGGAGTGGACTGGGCTACGGCTTTCCAAAAACTGTGTTGGTGTGTTTACAGAAGGGTCTTAGTAGCACTCGTAGACAGAAATGCATTGGAAGATAAGAAACGCACCTGCAAACATGCATCACTGCCCAAGGTGAGGATGTTAAACGGAATGTGGATCCCTCGGTGGGTAGCAGTTCAAATATTTGCTCCAGAACTTCGAAAGGCATCTTCCTCCAGGCGATTACAGCCTTTACGGGTGTTAGTACGAGATTATCGCCGCCATTCAAACCAAGTACATTCTTACCCGTGACCTCTTGAGTAAGTTCAACGTCCTCCAAGTCCGTGCTCTACTGTCTCTGTATCTTGACAGCATGCTGGGTAACAAGTAGTACTGCCGTAGCTCGTCGTAGACGTTATATATGTATTCGAAAAGTACCTCTTAATAGCTGTGTACCGCACGAGTTCAACAGCTTTCGGTAGTCACGGGCCTTGATAGCATCATTTCGCGACTCGTTAGACGCGCGTCCCGCAGTTATCACCTTTAAACTCGATTTCTATCATCCCAATTCGCTCACCAGTTCGGAATTGGGGAGAGGGTGAGTGCACAGCACTCACCCCCGACGGCGTCGCAGAGGTTTCTTTGTCGGAGGAAGAGCTTGGTAGTCGCTCCTAACGAAGAGCAAAGATGAATAACATAGTAGACCATGCGTGGTGACGGGAGGCGGATTATCACCGGACATCGGGGTGAGTAGGTCAAGGTGTTTTCGAGATTGGACGTGCTGCCAGTGGGGGGATCGAACACGGGGGAGCCCAACACGTTGTAACTAAGGCTCTGTTCGGCAAAAAGAATCTGGTGGATTCTTGGTGGATTCTTGCAAGAATCCAGCCAGATTCTTTCTGTGTCGCGGTAACCAGAACCAAATGCTCTCGTTCAGCATTAGCATTCGAGTCCGACAACGATTTTTATTTTATTTATGTTACGCCGAGACCCAGTGAAGCGACAGGGACGTACGGCACAGAGATTCGCAAGTGGCAAGAGGGGGAATCTGAGGCACCGCTAGACGAGTAAACGGTTATCGAAAGAGATACACGCAGAGTGAAAAACCCAGGCCGGTAGACGGTTTTCAGTGTCGAGTGTGCGTGAAGGAGGTTGATCTTGTCTATCAGAGGGCGTCTTAATCTCTCTTGCTTGTACGTAGAAAAATGCACACAAAACGTGATTTCAATGACTTTGGCAAGCCCGGTGATTCACATTAGCCACTGCGATTGTCAAGGGAGATGGACTGACCTCGAGTCCTTTCCCAACGCTTGCTTGGTATATTGTGAGCTGTAGAGGCACAATTCTGAGATAAGCATCCATGCACCAAGCTTTGGTAAAAATAGGCTGATATTTTGCTGTCACTTCCGATGCGGGGAATCGAACCCCGGGCTGCTGTGTATCACGACGTCATTAGTTCATGAAAGACAGCAATGTTAGCCACTACACCACATCGGAATGATGAAGTCCTTGTCATTGAGCCAAATAACAGTACCAAAGGATCTCCCTCACGGTCATCGCTATGGTTTGTTGCCTGTTGTTGCTCTTCTTCCCGGCTCTTCTAGTTCTTTCCACCTCCAACCTTTTTCCAATTTGCTCAAACGATCTTCTCAAATTCCGAATCAAGTGTTCGAGTCATGGATGCGATGGTAACGGTTTTTGGTGATTTTGCTTACAACTTAGCGCATCTCGACGGCTATCGATGGATACGTTCCTCAACGGCCGACTCATTCTCACAGCAGGCCAAAGAAAAACAGACGGTAACATCAGGGCTAGCGTGTTGAACCGTGCAATGGGAAGTAGTATTGGCTGGAAGTGTGGGTGAAGATAACTGCAGGTACGCCTATCTAACTTTTTTGTGATCGTCTTCGCTACTATTCTCCGCTTGAACATCGTCAAATTTTCCTCCAGGAAGATTGGTTTATCTGGTTGGGTTTAAGCTTCAGCATCCGGCGTTCATGACCACCTGTCCTGTCTTGAATCCCATTGCACACTTTCAACATAAAATCTACTCGTTCAATGGCCAAAGATTGTTTTGCCTTTCTGCGCCTTTCTCTACGTCTGCATGATCTTCGTCGATCCAAATCCACTCATTCAAGTCGCGACCTATCCAATCGTCCTCTCCGCCCTCTCTGAAAACGTCTAGGCAGTATTGACGGCTGGGTCACGGCTTCAAGACTTCCTATATCCATCCACGTACTGTCGTTTACGCTGATTTTGCCTCAATCTGCATCAACCCCTCAATTCCTCTTCCAGGACACAAACTTTTAGAGCGCATATCCCTGACAGTTGATTCCAAGAAAACGCCTACACAAAGGGGAAATGGAGTGGACGACAGGGACAGACGATACAGACTGCTGCGATCAGGTACGTCCCCCACGTTTGAACACTCGGACTCTCATAGGTTGCTTCGCTGACGTTCTTTGGCTTGTTGTTTTTCAGGCCACCCAGAAGACACATTCCTTGAGAACTTTAGGCCCATCCACAAAACCCAAACTTTACGGAATGCCATCGACGATCGTGTATAACATGAAGCTGAAGCACGATATCATACGATGGGATGATATCACTCCGATCTCTGGATACGTCGAATTTTGTTATATCCCTCAAGATTTCCCCTATCACTCGTTCATCACTCGTTCCTTTCGTTATCCCAGAGGAAAAGCCCACCTATCATTGTTCTCCTGCAAGACGGTATGGTCTGTCTTATGCGCATACACAAACACGGTAGTTGCCAGTCGTGTCTTTCGTCCATCTCTCTTCCACACCCGCCTACAGGAAGGCTTTGAAGATGACGACTCACGCGCACGAGTCACGATACGGCACGTTCCAATCATGTCCGTTCGTTCTTGTACTTACTTCTCTTCCTTTTGAGGAATGTCGGGATGCGTACATGGTATGCGAGAATTGCAATTTACTTATCCTTTCCAAGGATGGTTCGGTGGTCGTCGAAATTCATATAGCCGGTAATGAAGACGGCTGGGTGGTGTATCGACTAGTCAAGGGCGGCCCTGGGTCACTCGGGCATGTATCCTGCACTCCTCATCTTGAACCCACTTTTGCTGATACTCCTTTTCAATCCAACGAGCACTTCACGGCTCGCCTGGTCAGCGAACGTGATTCCTACCGATCGATGATCATGGTGGACCTACGAGTGGTTACTATCGTAGCTTCTCTCGGTGGCTTCCGTGCAAATCGAAGAGTTTTGTTGGGTTCACGACAATCACATTCCAATGGCGCTAACATATATTATGATTGTCTTCTTATACCGTTCACCTCTAGTCAGGGTCCATCTCGCAAGAGATGGCCGCCACCGAGCGACAGAACGGGCTGACCATCAACATTAGTGTGTGTTCAGCCCTACGATATTAGATCTGCAGCTGTTCGTCCACATGATATCCTCGTCCATATCCTTGCACGCTTTTGATCTTGACTCCCCGTGACGAGGGAGATAAAACCCGAGTTCACCGTCAATCGGAATTAGCGTAGATGGATGGGATCAGCATTCGGTAAGAAAGTACTACAACATTACGATAATAAAGTAGGAATACTAGTACAGGGAAAACGGAACGAGTGCTAAACAGGTAAGTTCTACTCTAGCCTGGGTCTAGCCCGGACGATAAATAAATTAGGGTTAAATAAGAGACCAGATGGTGTAGGTTGGAAAGAACGAGTGTACAATATGCTAGACGGGGTTCAGTGCTCAGTAAATATACAATACCTAGTTGCCCCTGGCGCAACTGACATTCAAGCTTCTGGAATCTTGAACGACACCACATCGCAAGGAACGAATTCGATGCCCTTCTGTACATCAGCGAAGTTGGGAGCATCTTTCCGAACAAAATCGAGAATTCTGCGGTTCTTGAGTTGCTGGATACGGCGTTCAGCGGGAGAGAAGACTCAACATGATTGTGTCTACTCACATCGACGACCTCGCCTACAGTCGGTCCGCTCATCATAGCGATAGCGTCCCATTGCTGATCGAAACTTGTGAAAGGGTTATCGACGGTAGGTTTGACCGGGTCGAGGGTGTTCTGCATATATTGATTCACAGTGAGCCTCCGAACTCATGAAACCCACAGTCGTCAGGACCCACCAATTCATACTTCGAGAACACCCTATCCGCTCCCGTCTCCCTCACAGCTCTAAGCATCCTCGGCGTATTAACCTCACTCCAATACTTGACAAAGTCACCATACTCCATTCCCTCTTTATGCGTAAAATCCCCAACGAGCGTCTGAAAATCCTTTCGGATAACTCCGACTTGTTCGTCCGGAATTTCCCTGGGATGTCTATCGAAGACCGTGGAGATCTTGAAGCCCGAAATCAACGCCGTAGAAAAGTTGGAGAACTTGAGACTGTCGGGGATAACTATTTCGTTGTATTCTTCGTTGTTGAATGCCTGATCGAGTATTAGTACCAAGTCGGGAGGGTTGGGAGATAGCCGGTGCTAACCTCGAAGATCTTATCCATGCTAGCTGCTTCGGCCAACATGATCCCATCGAATTCAGGTACGTCCAGACCTTCCTCACGGAGCTTCTGCTTCCACTCCTGATTGACGTGCATCTAAAGAAAATTCAAGTTTCGGATTTGCGTCAGTGAGAGACTCTGGGAACGAACCAATCCGTACACGATACCTGCTCGTATCTAAGAAGATTCTGTTTCGCGACCGTGGTGTTCAGAAACAATTGAGCATGCGGACCTCTCCAGTAATCAGAAAACTCCTCAAAGGACATGGCGCTGTTGCGGTTGAAATACATCAACATCCGGGACCGGTTTGGGGTCAAGTCGGGGGCATCCTCGGCGCGAGGGATGACACCTGCAGTGACGACGGTGATAAAGGTGAGAAAAAAGAGAAGGAAGGAGCGCATTGTGGTCTAAAGCGGCGGGAATAGAATAGAATAAGATACAGTGAGTGGGTACCAGGCCCGGGATGGGATGAGAGGAAGTCTATGAGATTCTAACGAGAGCGAGAGACAGAGGGAAGGAGAAGAGAAGAGACTGCGACTAATGGCTTCTGCTGGTCATTTGTCAACGCCTTTTTATAGCATCTGATACGGTATCTAGCGGTGATGCTAGTCGACGATGATTGACTTAGTGGGCTGTCCATATTCGAGCTCGGGAGTGGATGGAGTCGAGGGTTACCAAGCGGGAAGAAGCTGTGTCTCTACGACACCTTCAAGATGCACCAAATTTCGTCATTTCGTTCAGTCTGGCGAACTTGACAAGATTGGGATTTTATCATCAGAGTAGAGTATGAATACCTCTGGTGCGGTGCATAATAGAGTGCTTGATAACAATTCTGCTCGCAGAATTGAACGCAGTAGATGCTGCTACCTTAGATGCTCTCCAGTGATAAGTTGAGACGGTTATGACATATCTCCTTGTCGACGGCGCAGTCACGATCGGACAGTACGAACTTTCGCCCCAGTCCCCCAGGGTGAACGATGCCGCTGCCAAATAACTTTGCCATAGCCGCCCGCCGTCGGTATTTGCTGTTGAACTTGTTTCGATGTCAACAAGTCGAAATTTATGTGGTCGTACCCGCTTGAGATCCCCGGACATAAGAAGGATGATAAGGGGACTCAATCGACTATATTAAACTTTGTGATAGACTCTCGTCGTAAGGGTCCAACCTTCCCTCGACGATATACTAACTGCCATGGGAGTCGGCAATACGGCAGTACGGCCATGTGGCATATGCGTCAAGTGCCACAATGAAGTTCCCGGTATCAAAGGTCCAACAGGGCCCTACAATACCAAAGCATCCTTGGCCAACCTTCGCTGAGCCAACATCCACTCAGGATAACCCCGAGCATATGAGCGGGACGCCAGCACTTTTCCTTGATTTCCTAGCAGTAGCGCTTAGGATTTACTTCTCAAAAGTCCCAAGAAGAGTAAGAGTCCCTTCGCCATCAATGGATTCAGGTCGGCCTTCACCTGTGTTCCCGATATCACGGATATTTCTTGGAGCCTGTCCCTTGATCCCGAATCCCGACGGGAGATCAACGTTTGACGCGTCACTGAGGTGGCGTCGCACCTTGACAACGTGAAAATAGACAATATATCAACATCTTCGACTCAAGTCTGTAGGGCAGGTTGACTTGGGCTACCTGAGTTCTTTCGGTCTACAACAGGATGGTGCCTCTAGATCAAGCGGCTGCGTCACTCGGACTACTGGGGACTTGTGGTCGACATATCGCTGTATCTCCTGGTAATCTCAATCAAGCTATTGAATTCCTGGAAGTGGTCATCGAAGGTGATAACCGAGCTTATTCCTTACAATATTGTCCGGACAATTTACGCAAGCTGATTCTCGAGATTTTGCCAGTAACCAGGTCGTATTGCCTCGATGATTGGCTGTGGAGCTCGTTGTTATTCCGTATCAATCGAGTTATCTCACCGATTCATCGTGTATCCAAACAACTAGACCAATGCCCGAAGAAGAGGTATTGCTCCTCGGAGACTTTCTCATAGCACCTGCAGCCAGTACTGGTATATGGGTCCAAACCAAATCTCGCGAGGGGCGCCCCGACTTGGACACGCGTCCAGAGTCCAATTGTGGCTGAGGATGCTTATCAGTCGGGAGATCGTATTCGTCCACTCAGCATTGCTCGGGAGACTCTTGATGGGATCCACAAAGGCAAAGTGACTCCAATGGACGCTGGAGCGTCGCACTCAAACACCCTCGGCAATTAGAATGAAGGTTAAGTAATGGTTGCGGTCATTGTCCTACGGTCGCGTTTGCCGGTTACTATGAAATCTGGGTAAAAGAACCTGATTTGTGTATCTTTCGGGATTTCGGCGCAGCGTAATTTGTACGGCTACAATGGACGAGATGTTCTTTTTCTTGAGAGGACCGGTACGCCCTCACTGGTGCGCCGATCGTGTCATGGGCTTCTCGGCGCCCTGGATTAATGGATTGAAATGGAAGGAGATCAAGGAATTTGAGTAGCGCGTTTCTGCGAAGAATCCAGGCCATCTGTTGGTTTTACCATCGTGTTGCTCTTTGATTAGGCGAGGTTGTGTAGATAAGATTGGAGTTTGGTGTTGTAGCTCAACTCCCTGGTAGTATATCGGTTAGTACACGCGCCTGTCATTTACATGAATGTCATTGAGAAGACGCGCGAAAGCTGGGTTCGACTCCCAGCCAGGGAGGGACTACTCACGCAACTTTTTGGACTTCTATGGTGAGTGTTCCGCTTTGAACCCAGAAGATGTATCTATAAGCCGTGCCACCTAACCCCGCTATCCGTCAGCCAAGAACTGGGAATAGTATGCTAATGTGCAACATTGATTTTACGCGCGCATATGCGCGTATTTGCGCAACACATAGACCTTATAATCTAAACAACCCTTTGACTCGCACCACTTCATCCCACTTTTAACCCGCTCAAGCTCCTCTTCTAATCTATGCCGCAGAGCAGTACCACACGACGGAATCTCCCCGTCCCCACCGCCCTCCCTGAAGTAGGCTTCGTTAGTCTCCTCGACCGTAGCCTCCAACACAATCAAGATCTCTAGCCTAGCTGTATTCGGAAACGACTTCCGAATGGCCTCATCCATGCGGCTCAAATCCGGCTCTGGTGAGGTGCAAGTGCTGAAATTGACGTAGGACAAGTCAAGGACGGTTAGCGATGGGAATATCACAGGCTCTTGACGTTTCACATCCCCGAATATACCTGAAAGAATCCATGAAGGATTTCTTTCCAATATCGAGGGCTAGCCGCTCGATACCCGGTGGTAAGATCTTCAAGAACGTGTACCACCCTTTTGCTTCGGATTAGTTGTCAGGAAAAGGATGGGTACGAGGACGTCATAGAGTAACACTCAAATGTAACCAAGGCGTTATTCAGACGGAGAAGTCCCAATCCTGTTTCATCCCAATGACAAAGCCAAAGAATCGAGGCATCTCGGATTCCTCGTTCCGAAGAGTCTAAGAGTTTGGCAATACTTCCAATACTCGTAGCCGAGCACAGTATGTCTGTGGAGACTGTTAAGGCCTGGAGATTCGGAGAAGGCACGAACAGCCTTATAAGCCATGAGAACCTGACTCGAACGTTCTTGGGTGGGAATTTGAGGATGAGTTCGAGGGATCTGAGACGGGGGAGGAGGGGGACCACCGACGCCGTCTCCGAAGGTCTCGCATCCGTCGTGAAAGTGACCAATCCAACGTGTAACTCCTCGAGATTGACAAATGTCCCAATAAAGCCCCTAAGCTTGTCCAAACCAACAAACTCAACTCGGTTGAGCGACATACTCGTTAATTGCTCGGCGAAACACTGCTGAAGTATGAGCTGCGAGTCTTTTTAGATCTTCGTCGACTCTGGAGGTGGCAGAAATTTTTCGGCTCCTACTTCCAATGTACTGTTGGGGAGGAAGAGGTTCGTCCTCGTCGTAGTTGATGTTGAAGAACCTGACCCTAGAGACTATAATCTTGTTCACATTCGCAAAGAACTCTCGAGCTACAACTTCTTCCGACCCTCCGTCGTTGTTAGACTCCCCAAGCCAGCGAATGAACCGGTTCAGAGACCGGATATCGTCTTCGAGAGCGGACCGTCCACGGAAATATGGTCCCTCGATTGTCAAGGTGCGTATGCTGAGGAAAACGTCACCGGAAGTATGGGTGATATTTTGGAGGTTACCGAGGGAGGTAGTCGTTTTAGGAGTGGTAGTGTTTTTCTATAGAAGAGCTTGACATCCTGCAAACCATGCATGAGAGATTAGGGAGTATGAACGTAGACCTCGCTTGTCGATGCGGGGTTTCAGACGATGTTCACGGTATACTGAGGTCCTACTCGGCGTGTTTAGACGAATGAGAATTTGGTTGATGATGTCCGAAGGAAGTTGGCTGATTTGTGTGATGGCCGCTGGATGGACGACGACGATAAATGATCGTGGTTGTGGTTGTGGGAAAAGGGCGATGTGGGCGTTGAAATATAAAAAGGGGCTGGAGGAGGGGCGCCTAACTTTGAAAACAGTTAGTGTGACTCATCGCTACGTCCTACATGTCTCATCTCCGCGCTCCTTCAAGAAACCACCACCCGGTTTCAGTTGGAGGATCCGCGGTCACTGCTTGATGGCGACTCCTCCATGGTCAAACAGTAAACTTGATTTCCCTACAGACTCAAAGACCTAAGGATTGGACAATGCAAAACCATAGGTACGTTATTCTTGAATAGTATTCGGAATTTGCCAATTACCACTGCAACTCCGCAAAATTCGTAATAAACCTCGGCGGAGGCACATCCGCAAACGAGTTAACCCATCTCACGAACGTAGATTTCATCGTCTCGTTCATAGTATCCTTCCACCTGTCAAAGTCCTAACGTGGAGATGTCAGCCCAACACCCCGGACACCAAAGACTGAGACTCACACTCGGAACCTCCCACCCACTTATAACCACATACTCATTCCCGTCCCCGAGTCCGTAGCCATACGTACTGGCATACGCACCCCCATCTTCCATCGCCGACTTCGCCAAAACATACGAGTCATCTTCGAGCTGGACTCGGTCGACGTGAGAAGGAACCGTAGTTATAGATGTTTGCGTGTACAACCCATCGCGGGCGGTGCTGAGGAGGAGAGAGGTGTTGGGAAGGGTTACGTATGTTTGGGTTATCCCTGACTTTGCCCGGCTGTGGGGGAGGAAAGGGGTGATGAAGTCGGTTGGCTGGGTGGTGGTGGTGTTGGGTATAACTGAAAGGTGTAGGTGTCAAAGGGCCCAACACAAAGAGAACACAGGACTTGCAGAACCAATAGATCGCGGAAAGAGAAGGTTCAGCGAGAACTGAGCCGATAAATGCTTGTGATATAGTCGCGTTGTTCGAATTGTAGAGGGCCTTGGTCGTCTAGGTGAGCTTTGCGAGACTATCTTTGAGCTTGAGAGTTTGGATTATAAGCCGTGTTGGACCCTCGTACTCGATGGCTAGAGCCGTGTGGGCTGCAACGACGAGAGAGCAGATACCGAGAGGTGAGAAGTGCATTGTAGTTTGTTGCGAGACTCTAGACTAGCCCAGGTTCAACCTCTCCTTCTGTTCACCAGCTTTTATGGCTCATGACATCGCAGGCACCATACGCTTTGAATTCTCGTGAGGGGATCGACCTTTACGGTTTGTGCGCGTACGTACCGACTCGGACTGGGGACTCAAGTACTCAAGTCTCAATATAAATACTGGACAGTGGCATCTGATGCACCAACCTCGAGCGTTATACCGGGGACTATATACTGTGGTTGCTGAACCACCCGTAGATCTTTCGAGATAGGCGATTGTTAAGGATCATCTTGGCGTTATTTTATATGTGAAGAGCACTGATTTCGAGTCCCAGACCATTTTGAGCCCGGGTAGCCCGGAGCAACCAGAACATATGGTATTGTCAAGTACCACCTCCTTGGATGGTTCTCCAGACTGTTTTCCTGTCTAATTATCACTTCGGAGTGGCTCAAAGTGAAAGACTATCCCCGACCGAACTAATGTAGCGTTGAGCTTACCGCAGTAGACTTCAAATCCCTGGTAGTACATGTACCTGTCACTCCTTACGATTCCAAGAAGTGGTGACGCGCGAAAGCTGGGCCCTCTTGCCATGGAGCTCTTTTATTATGATCCAGCAGCGTACAAATGTTGTGACATAGCTCACAATACTACAAACACTTCCCTGGGAGTGTTTAGTCGAATATTTTCCGAACGCTTGAATGCTTGGCTACTCTATACGCGGCACTAGAGCCCCATAAATACAGATTGGATAATTGGTTCGATGGCGTAGTTGGTTATCGCATCTGTCTAACATAAATAGGCTCAGAGCAAAATGATTACACAGAAGGTCCCCAGTTCGAGCCTGGGTCGAATCATTCCTCGTGATGTAGCTGTTTTTCCCCCTGGATCTGTGTCGATGACTAAACGTAGCGTTGGAATTGATCAACATGACGAGGTTCTTTTAATTTTAGTACTGCTGGGATCTGAACCTTCTCTCTCTCCTGCTTCCGAATACCTTAGCTCAATCCACATACATCCACGAATCCTCTTATCAGGCACGAAGATGTGGTAGGTAAGGCTTGGTTCTCTGTTCTCGTCAAGTACTTATGTAAGTGCATTGTATAATATTGCTGATTTGCCGAGGACCGAATCTTCAGCTTCAAGAATGGAGAGAATTTTTTTGACTCGAGGGATTCATTCACATGCTGACATATGATGGAGGTCAAACTCGTTATAGCTTTGTGCGTCCACCACTTCACAACTCCCTGGTAGTATATCGGTTAGTACACGCGCCTGTCATACTATATCTTCTATGTTTCCCATCGCGCGAAAGCTGGGTTCGACTCCCAGCCAGGGAGAATACTTAGCTACGCGATTCAGTAAATTTTTCTCCTTCCAATATCTGGACGTCCGCGACGCAGTTATCTTTATACTTACCTCTCCAATAAGATCATTTTCGGCAGATGTTTTTCAAGTGCTTGAGGATGCTTGTGGCAACATGGTCCTTCGCCCACATACCTCGTTGGCACGTATTCCCCTTCCAGTGGTAATCGGTTCGATGGCGTATCTGGATAACGCATCTGTCTAACATGTCAATTGGACTGTTGGTTACACAGAAGGTCTCCAGTTCGAGTCTGGGTCAAATTATACAAGGAGTGAGCTCAAGATTCTTTTTATCGCAATCACCTGCAGCGAAAATCAAATGACCGCGGCAACAAAGTTGATACACTTGCATTGCTACAATCTAAACAGATTCTCCGTCCCAGTCTTCTCGATTCTCACTTGCTCCGGCGACTCGCTCTACTTAATATTGAATGCGCCCTGTCAAGGCAGCCCGGACTTTTAGTACAAGCGCTCAGGGTCGCTCAGAAAAGAAGCTTTGTTTTCTCGGCTGACCTACAGCTGACGTCCTCGGAAATGAATTGATGAAGATGCAATAGATTCTAGACTCTATGTATAAGCTTGGCTGTGGCGTGCAGAGCTCGTGTTCGCGTCAATGCGCATGCACATGTACTGTTTTGATTCTTGGGACTGTCGTCGTCTCTCCTTCTCAACTCTGCTGTGCTGTACGAGATATGTGGCTACACACAGCCAAGGTGATGCGCACACACGGGGCGGAAGAAGTTGGAGAGGGGGGTGGCGGAAAAGGAAAGAAATTTCTCGGCTGTATTCGCGATGATTGACGTCATGGAAACTTCCGTCCTACTTCCATCAATTCACGTGCCCAGCCATGATGTGGTCAAAAACTTTGAGCCTTCTGAGGAAGAATTCGCACGGTTGAAGTTTTTTCTTCCTTCCTCCACCTTCACTCTCTCCCTCGCTCTCTCCATCCTCACCTCGACCTCCCCTCTCGACTCAACGACCCGTGAAAATGTTCGTCAAACTCAGGTATGGATCTATTCTATTCACTCGTGGTCATTCATCGGCGCTAACTACTTCTGGTGTTTTGAATTGCAGTCTGCTCTCTGCTCTCGCGACTCTCGCCAGCGCTCTTACCCTCAACGCACCTCAGGACCCCGTGGTCGGTCGCAATGTCACGGTCTCCTGGTCGGACCCTAGCGGCACCCCCGTTTTCCATCTTGAACTGCACCACCCGACGTTCAACAATGACTTTGCTGTCGCGAACAGTGTCGACCCAAACCTCGGCTCGATCACGTTTATCATGCCAGAGGTCCAGGAGCAGAGTGACTATACATTGAGGGCGGTGAACATCAGCGACATCAGCAATGTCTATGCGGAGACTGGAAGTTTCAGGATCGTCAACCAGACTACGGCTAGTTCGACGGAGGCTACTGCGTGAGTTTCTTTTCTTTTCTGCTCTTTTTCTTGTTTCCTTCCGGCAGCTGACGCCTTTCGTCTCTCTTCTCCCGTAGATCCGCAACCTCGCCCACCGGCAGTGCCAGTCAAACCGGTAGCCAATCTGGCAGCCAATCCGGCACGACCTCTTCCGGATCACCCTCTTCAACGGCTCCTGCAGACGGTCAGAACGGTGGAAACGGTGCTCTCTCCTTGGGCGTCAACGGTGGAGCTGCTGCTCTCGTTGCAGGTGTTTTGGGTGTTGCCGCTTTGTTCTAAACCTAACAAAGCTCCCAAACCTCATCTCACTTTTACCATGCGGGTACAGTGCGGGTTGCAACGCGGTTAACTGATGATAGTGGATCGACGTTTGAACGGGTGCTATAGCTGTTGACAGGTAGCATGATGCAGATGCAGATTCAAGATGGCGGTGGCGTTGACGAGTATCTGCTCTTGGACATTTTTGACGTGGACCCAATATTTATTGCTCATATTGCGTTCTCCCCTATACCCAGTCCATACCCACGTTCCCGTTCTTTTTCATTTCTCGTCATCATCGCCGTATACTTGGACGTTTATTGTTTGCTTTGTTCTCTTTCAGGCATATAGTTAACCTTGTGGTTTTTTTGCTTTCGCTGTCAGTACGTACGTATTGTTGTTCTTGTAGGTCGTAGATACTCTTGGTGTTTTGATGTAACACGCGCCGTTCACGTTCACATCTTTTCGTTGGAAGCAGTGCTCGCCGCTCGTGTTAAGATAACGATACGACTGCGGCAAGAGTCGTTCTTGGGGAAGTTGCGGCGGCGAGGTCAAAACGGGAGCGCTGTGGCCATTATTGACGGCATGCAAAAGAAAAATGTAAAAAGGGGAGCAGTTTGATGATTCGACCCAGGCTCGAACTGGGGACCTTCTGTGTAACAGCTACGTCCAGGGCCCTATGTTAGACAGATGCGATAACCAACTACGCCATCGAACCATTACCAGGGTATGAAATGAATCATACACGACCACCGGCCCAATACTATGGCTGTGGTCGCCAGTGGCCAGCATAAAAAACGGTCAGCTAGTGTATTCATGTCCACAATTTTCACTCGTTGTGAGGACCATTTCATGAGGAAGGTATCAGAACGGAGACTAGTCTAAAAGAGGAGCCTCGGGGTATAATTTGGATGGACTACGCCGACGCGGCTGAAAAACGATCCAAGGCCGCCCTGCCTCCCACTTTCGAGGCTTTGGGACTCGATACTTCTTCTAGCTCCTTCCCGGTTTGCTATTATGCATGCACGGATTAGTACGCCACGCAGAAGGTTTCTTTGATTTCGTCTCCTCCTCCCGTCTCCGAGTCCGTCGCTCTCAGGCCTCGTCATCACTGCTCTCATCCCCACTTTCCGAGTCCGAATCCGAGTCACTTCCATCACTGTCACTTTCCGAATCACTCTCTGAATCCCCGTCGTCTTCCTTCTTTCCACCTTTCTCTTGGCCAGTCCCTTCACCCTCGCCGTTCAAACCCAAAGCGACGATCCCCTTTCCTTCGGCCCCGGCGTCGAGTGAAACCGACACATCGAGCACTCCACTCTTTAAACCGTGACAATCATTTGAACTTATGTCGGTGGTGGTCTTGGTGTCGAAATCACACCCAGGTATCGGTTCAGGTGTCGGGGCTCCCAAAGCCGCAAACCTCTTGATTTGAATGTTGAATGGTTAGCAGTGTAGAACGGGTAAACAGGAGACGACACGTACAGAGACGATGCCCAGGAGGAGCAAAAGGGAGAGGAGATTTCGAAAGGACGTGCGGCATATTCTTGTTGGCGTTGACATTGGGGGTTTGGCGAGAAAAGCTTTCAATGGTGCCCAGAGTACGAATCTGAGTCTCCGTTATATGCCGTTCTAAGCTTATAGCTATTCAAATTTGCAACGTTATCCCCGAAGCGAGTGGATAATCATAAAGTTCGCGTCGGGAGCTCTGCATCGTGACCGCGTGTTTTAGTGTAAACCGCCAAAAAATACTTGAATGTTCGTCCATGCCTTAGAACTCATGGTTGGAACACAAAAGAGCCTTGGGATTGGAGACTGGCGAGTATAAAGAACAACAAAATAGTACTTGGATGTTACAGAGTATACGGTGTCGTGGACATTAAGAGTATACCTAGTGGAATTCCTGATATAGGATGCCATCAGAGCTGGTCGGCTCGACTTGCGAGTTGAGCTGTCCAATCAAGGAAACAAGTCGAGCTCACCGGGCTCAGCTGGTTCGACTTTCCGCAACTAGGAAAAGCTACCATTCGACATTCTGCGAAGCACGTTTTTGATCTCCGTGAGCTTCAAGTATGGGAATATAGAGTCCTAAGTAAGTATCGTTTTGTCAACCCTGCGAGTCCATGTTCGTTCAAAGACTCACCTCGCCTGTTACCTCCGTGAACGTAAACCCCGATATAAATCTCCGCTCAATCTCCAGTAACAGTTGCCTGATGACCTGAATCTCGGACTTCATCTGGCGGAATTCCCGAGTCAGTAAATTGACGGGATCAGTCTGTGCAATGCGCCGAACCTACCTCAATTATCGGTTGCTGAGTCATATTGTAGACATGCCAGATCGTCCACAACATCCTTCCCAATTGTCTTGTTGAGAACACCTCCTCCCTGAGACTCCCAGCTCGCCGCCGCTCCGAAACGTAGATGGTAGCCTTCGGTCTCTCCAACCGACGTATCATATCAAGCACCTTCAAATCCGGCCCTTCAAGTCCGTCCACACACAAATGTAAATACACAACCTCCAACTTCGCAGTTCCACCGCTCCGTGAATCCAAAAACCTCTCAATAGATTCGATACTCTCAACCGGCGCCACACCCTCATCAAACCTCACATCCAACCACTCCAATTCACCCAAAAACCCTCCATCCCTAGCGAGACAATCGAAAACATTACTAAACAGCTGTCCCCACAACTCCAACCTTTTCAAAAATCGAAATTCCCGTCGAAAAAGGAACCGTGCGAGTCTTGTATCAGTCACAGCGATACCGTCCAAAGTCAATGATACAATAATGCAGAACGATCTTCTCAGCATGTTTCCGAGACTTGCAAGCCTCGAGTTGGTCGTTCTGCTCCAATGCAAGTCGTGTATCCCTAGATGTTTCAAGTTGGGAAGCTTCAAACGGGATATCAATCCCAACCCCGGAGCTGTGCCGAAGATGTCTCCTCCTGCTGTGTACTCTCCTAGATGGACGTGTAGGTTTTGTAAGGAATTTATTTCGATGTCCTCTGGGTCTTGGTTACCGGGGGGCACCACTGTCTCGAATGGTGGACCGTCAACTACGACGAGAGTGTGAAGGCACCTCGTGAACGAAAGAGCAGTGGACAATAAATCCATGTCCAGTGGAGCTCCAACCTCCAAATAGGTGATCGAGTTCCACCAACGCGAGATCTTGAGGGATGCACGGATCCCATCCTGATCGGGGTCAGGCACCGGAAGTTCAATTTCCGAAAACGGATGAACAGCAAGACGTCGTAGTGCCACCGGAGTCTCCTCCAAGACTCTAAGAAAATCTCGCCACATCGGGTGTCGAACGTTGTGTAACTCGACACGCTCCAAGTTGGCGTACTTTGATATGGGTAGAATATTCCACTCGGTGCAGTCTTGGGACCAGAGATAGAGGTTTAACGAGCGCCATCGGTGGGACTCGGCGCGTAAGATGTCGATGAGGGACTGGAGCTCTGTCTGCATCAAAAGAGAAACTGGGGAGATCTTGATATGGATATCGAGGAGACGGTTGTTTGTCATTGGGATGACTGAGCAAAGGATAGAAATACTGCCTTCAATTGAACGGTTAGAGAGGAACGCAGTGTCGATGTA